GCAAACTACTAGAAAAGCTCAGCAATCAGCAAACCTTCACAACTTATAATTGGGTTAATGAATAGATTTACTCCTCAATTTATTTACTCTCAGGTCATCACCCAAAAACATTTTCAAAAATTCATGCTGATCTTTAGGGTTTAAGCTACAGCCAAGTTAAAAGTGAAGGCATGTTTTCTCCAAATCCCGAATATACATCCTGATGCTGATTTACACATAGACATAGAAGGTCAACTCTTCAAACCTCGGGAGGATTTAACCTCTCAATTTGGCAGCAAATGACATCAAAATGGAAATTCTTGCTAGACTAAAGGTTGGGGGATCCTAAGAAGCAGGAATCAGAATCAGACAGAGTGAACACTTTATTAAACCACCTGTAAATTTTGGCAAACAGAAGCCAAAATGACATTTGTGCTGACTTGGCCACAAGACATTATGCAACCACAGAAACACTGTGCATGCTGCCCAAGCCTGGTGGTAGCTCTGCCTCCTGAATTCTGAGCAAACAGAGGAAATCACGGGATCCCTCCTTTTACTCTCTTGTCTTCTCCACTCTTTCTCCAAAGCAGGGACTTGGGGAATCCAAAAGACCTGGATGCCATTCTAGACTCATCACAAATAGTTATGTGGATGTGAACAAGTCATTAACCTCTCTGAGTCTCATTTTTCTTCACCAAAAAATGAGAGATAAAGAAAACTACTGTGTTGCAGTTGGCAGGAATAAAAATGTTAATTAACACCATTTACAGAGTCACGTAGAGCATGTCACAGAACTGTGCTTAACATTCTAGTCCAGTGGTTCTCACTGTAGCTGCGTAAAGGAACTAACTGGGGAGCTTCAAAAAGTACTGAAGCCTGGAGGACAACCCTACAGAGTCAGATATAATCAGTTTGGCATCCTGAAGCACTGGAAATGTTTAAAGCTCTCCAGGTGATTCTAAATGCAGCCCAGGTTGAGAACTATTGCTGTATTCAGATTATTTTTATTTAAGCCACATAACTACCAGAAGAGTTCAGAAGAATTATTCTTTCTTTCCCCATTTTCACAGACAAGGAAATTGAGGTTTGAAAAGACTAGAAGATTGCTCAAAGGTGCAAAACTAGCAAGGGGCGAGCTGAGATTTGAGTTCACACAGCGTGACCCCTGCGCCCTCACATATCACCGCCACATTTATGTGCCACTGCTCTACCTAACGTGAAAAAGCATCTAGCATGGTCTCTAGCATGCAGAACATGCTCCAGATTTGGGAGCTAATTTTGTACTTTGCTTTTAAGCTTTTCTCCTCTTGATTCTCTGCCCTTCACAATTCCCAGCCCAAAGTACTACTTGGAGTTCAGTAGGAGTGAGGGATGAAGAAGATGTCATCAGGATAGATCCAGAAAAAACTATTCTCTTTTCCTTCTCTCTTCCTTCCTAAAGTCTGGCCATGTGCATACACTTGCTTTATGTTTAAAATCTTTTAAAATAATTATTACAGATACTATATTGAAAACATCAGAAATCTAAGGAGAAATTTTTCTACCATCCCTTCTCAAGTTTAAGTCAATGTTTTCATTTGCCAATGTCAACTTCTGGGCCTTATCCATGAGCATATATGGTTTCTACATTTACAATATATAATTACATATTTAAAATAATCTGTTCTCATGATGTTGAACATAGTTTTCCAGAAGATTTGTCCTGTAACCCAGTTAAGCAGCCTGCCACAGCTCTGTAGATAATGAAGGTAATTTTACTATTAATTGGGCCCAAGATGTTTTCTTTAAAAACATGTTTTCTTATGGGAAAAAAAAAAAAGTTTAGTGTGGATACTCTGAAAGCTGATATCAAAATTTAATGTAAAAGTCACACAAAATAATGTTTGTCTTCTCTTATTTGCTCTATGCTGCTCAGTGCCCACATTCCTTACCCCCATGCCTAGAACACAGTAAGAGCTCAAAAAAAATTTTTTGTCACTTTTTCTTGAATTCAACTTTATTTATACTTATTTTTGTGGGGTATAGTGTGTTGTTTCAATACATGCACATCCTGAACAATGATTCACTTAGGGTAGAAAGCATGGTTTTGTCCCCACTTCACCCCTAGTCTTTCCCCCTGCCCCACCCACCTGTCCCAGCCTTTGGTAACCATTATTCTACTCTCTACTTTTTTTTTTTTTTTTTTGAACACACAAAGGTTAACATCCTTATTGCAAAAAGAACTCATAAAAACAAATTAGAAAAATCTAAGCAGAAATTTAGTGAAGGACATGAACAGATAAGTCACACACTTCAAAGAAACACAGGTCGTTAATAAGTACATTCTAGGAGCTGGCTGCAGCAGGAGCAGGGCTGGCCTCTCCTGTCTTAGGACCCCTAGGCATTGAGCTGGCTCTGTTGCAGTCCTGGATGTGTAGCAGAAGGGACAGAGAGCTCAAAAAATGTTTGATGCATAAACAAATGACAGTTCTATAGTTTACAAGTTCTGTAGTGAACTTGTAAAATAGGATTTCATAGGAGCAGGGACAGAAGACTCCAAAGTTAAGCCTGAGGACGGTGTACACAACAGCAAAGCAGGCAGGAAAGGCAACCGGAAACCCCATGGTCAAGACCAGCCACATTGGCCAGGAGGAAACATGTGGCTTCCTGATGCACCCATTTAAAACCATCAGCCTTTGAAGCATGACATATGTGAACCATGTCAGGGACCTACAAGCTGGTTCATCAGTCACACTTTGGGGTTGTCTTAAAAAAAGTTGTTTCCATTCTTGGGCTCCTCTCTCCTATGCACTGCCTCTGGAAATTTTACAGAGGTGGAGGCAGCTGTAGAAGAAAAACAAGGCTTCAAAGAATTGAAATAGGTATATTTCAGGAGAACACTCCCATGAAATGTCCTTAGAGGAAGTATTCTTAAGCTAGAATCCATTGGGTCTCCTCTAGATACCATAGTGGAACTTCAGGAAACTATGAACACCCCAAAATTGATGTAAATTGTTTGAGTGCATATATGTGTGTTTGTGTCTGTGGGTCTGTTTGATAAAGAGACCTCAGCCTTCATCAGATTCTCATGTTTTCTTGTTATAGGGTCTGCTCTTCCTTCCACTTCATCAACTTAAGCGGGGCTCTTCTAAACCCATCATTATTCATCAGGGGCTGGAGGTGAGGATGAGAGAAGGTGGAAGACAAGAAAACTAACCCTGTGGAAGGTCCTCTATTGAATCGATACAGGTGAAAGGCTTAGGGAGTGTCCAGAATTCTTAAGGGCCCATAAGTGTTAGTTATTATTACTACTCTTTGCCAAGCACTTTATGTTTTCTTAACCTCACAACAACCCTACGAGTTCAGCATAAGTCCCATGTCCTATTTATGATGAAACTGAAACTCAGAGAGATTGAGTAACTAACCCAGGGTCACACAGCTAGTGGTAGAGTTCAGAACTATCTTGTTTCAAAGCTTTGATTCCTCCCTCCACTGTGTGTCCTGAATTACTGGCCAGGCCTTCAGTCTGGAGGCAGCCTCTCTGCCTTCCCTTCAGGCTTTCACATCTAAAGCCCAAGGATCCCACTCCCTTTCTCTGTCCATGAGAACAGACACAGCCTCTTCCATCCAAGGCATAATCTACGTGCTTACGTAATATGACCTCAATCATTCCACTCAAATTCCACAGTCAAAGCCAGTTCTCTCCCAGGGTGTTAATTTAAAAAATAAATCTCAAAAAAACAAATAAAAATAAATCACACTTATCACAATTAACAAACACGTTTGCCTTCATGATGCCCCCAAGTCAATGCTAGAAGGGAAGAAATGTTTTCTAGCAGTCACAAGCCAGAGGAGTGAGAAAGCTCTAAACCAAGTCTACCATCTTTTCATTTCAAAATCATGCTAAAAACTGCAGTTAAACACCAGCCACCAAAACACCCTTCCATCACATGAGAATCATGGCAATTGCATATACTGAGCACTTCTTACGTGTCTGCACTTTACATGTGTTATCACTATGCCTCAAAAGAACCAAGCAGGCAGGATAGATATTACTGCTTGAGAATTAAGCAAGTCCCTCAGGGTCACATAGTCAGTGAGTCGCAGAACCAGCACTTGAGTCCAGGCCTACTGATGACAGCGTCAGTGCTGTTAACCACATCCTTCCCACCGTGTCTACACAGTCACTGGGATTCCTATACCCAGGACCAACAGCCCCTCTTGGTTTTCCCTGAAACCACTTCCCTGAAATCTGGCCAAGCTCTTGGGAGGAGAAGCTATGGAAGAAGACAGACGGATTCTATAAATAGAAGATCCCGGTGTGAGGCCCTGCTCTGCCACTTACTTACTAGCTCTGCCACCTTAGGCAGATCACTTAACTTTCCAAGGCCTGTTTTGTCTCCTAAGCAATGGAGATCATTGTTAATGCCTTGCTGAAAGGATCAGAATAGCCACTAAGGCTTAAGTGTTATGCAAATGTCAGTTACCTTTACTCCTCCTTAACCCACTAATTCATGAAATGTAGGTGATAGTCCTTTCTCAGCCTCCCCTCTTCGCTCATGCTCAGAGTTCTTGGCCACCACCGGAGTTCCACCACCACCACCTCGCGACCCCATCCTCCATGGCTGTTGCTTAATTTCCCCTCCATTTCAGCAGTTCTTCTCTCGCCTCGCCGGAAGGACTGGTCTCGGGTGCTCAGACTTCTGGCTACTTTCCTTCTCTCCTGACTCTGGGCACCAAGGTCTGTCTCTCCTCAGGACCCCGCGCGTCAGGGCAGGGCTCTTCACTGGGCGGCTTCGAGTCCTGCAATGCCAACGCCGGGCGCGCACCGGGCCGCGCGTACCGCCCCTCGGAGAGGGGTGTGTCCCGAGGGTTTAGATAGGAGGCGTCTGCTGTGGGGAACAGCCCACGGTCCGCAGGGCTTCCTCTGCGGCTCGGCCTCTCCGCCCCAGCCGCGCGCGGAGCGGCCGAGGGCTCCTCCGCACCCGGGCGCCGGGTCCCTCTCCTTCCTGCAGACTCCACTCCAGCCCTGCCCGCCCGCCATGAAGTCGCCCATGTACCGCTGCCAAAACACCACCTCGGTGGAGAAGGGCAACTCGGCGACAGTAGGAGCAGCGCTCTTCAGCGCGGGCCTCCTGGGCAACCTGCTGGCCCTGGGACTGCTGGCGCGCTCTGGGCTGGGGTCGTGCCCACCACGCCCGGCACGCCCACCGACTTCAGTCTTCTACGTTCTAGTGTGCGGCCTGACGGTCACCGACCTGCTGGGCAAGTGCCTCCTGAGCCCCGTGGTACTGGCTGCCTATGCACAGAACCGGAGCCTGAGGGGACTGGTGCCCGCGCCGGGCAACCCGCTGTGCCAAGCCTTCGCTTTCTTCATGTCTTTCTTCGGGCTTGCCTCGACGCTGCAACTCCTGGCCATGGCGCTGGAGTGCTGGCTGTCCCTAGGGCACCCCTTCTTCTACCGACGGCACATCTCTGTGCGCAGGGGAGCGCTGGTGGCCCCCGTGGTGAGCGCCTTCTGCCTGGCTTTCTGCGCGCTACCTTTCGCAGGCTTCGGGAATTTCGTGCAGTACTGCCCCGGCACCTGGTGTTTCATCCAGATGACCCACGAGGAGGGCTCGCTGTGGGTGCTGGGCTACTCTGTGCTCTACTCCAGCCTCATGGCGCTACTGGTCCTCGCCACCGTGCTGTGCAACCTGGGCGCCATGCGCAACCTTTACGCGATGCACCGGCGGCTGCAGCGGCACACGCGCTCCGCCACCAGGGACCGCGCAGAGACGAGCGCCGGCGAGAGGGAGTCATCCCCGCAGCCCCTGGAGGAGCTGGATCACCTCCTGCTGCTGGCCCTCATGACCGTGCTCTTCGCGATGTGTTCCCTTCCTGTCATTGTGAGTCCCTTGGCGGCGCCGAGGCTGCGGGTGATTGGGACGTGTCGGGCCGCGGGTGTCGGGCGGGAAGGGTGGAGCGTGATGGAAGCGGCTGGAGAGGAGCTGCGCCCCGGGCCAGGAGGGTTTGTCGCTGTTCTCCAAATCAGACTCCCTCCACAGCCCCAAGATATAACCCAACTTGTCTAGCAAGAAGAGGGACAGTCAGAGAAAGAGAGGGAAAGACCGAGCCCGACGGTGTCCCCTTAGCCCAGCAAAACCCTCTCCAGTTGGCAGAGCCCTCTCCTCTCTGCTTCCCTCTGGGGAGAGCTCAGGACCATTGTTGCGCCTCAGACCTGCAGGGGCGGAACGTGGTTCCTCCTTGGCAGTAAGGATCCTCTGTTCCTTCCCGACGGCTGGGCAATCTTCTGTCTCCTCAGACCTGCCCAAGATTTTAGTGGTATCGTATCAAAAATGGGCGAATGGCGTCTGGGGGGGGGGGGGGTTTTTCCCCGGGGGG